GTGGGAGCTTGGGAGGTGTGTGGATGGGGAATAGAAATGGGTTATGATTCAGATTTATAATCTGACAATTTCCATGTTCTATACAAACTAACCTGGCCACAGAATCTCACCAGTCTAAATATTCTGCCTTCGCATGGCTTTAGTTAAAGGATCTCAAAATGCCGTGTTAAGGAATATCCCACTGGGCAGCTTACTGATGAAAGGAAGAAACACATTTTCTTTCTCCAATCTCTGAATCCCCACCTCCTTTAACTCACTTCCTTGTGTGTGAAAGGAAATATGGAGCCGGGGTTGAACGGGGTTGTGTGCATGGGAATAAAAGGCCACTCTCTGAGCAGCCTGGTGCAGAAAGGGCTGGAGTATTTATTTGAATAGGCTGTCTCTCCTAAGGAGCAGGAAACAGCCATCAACATCCTTCACCTGCACAAAACATGGAAGAGGTTCTCTCCAAAGGCAGCAAAGTGGGGCTTTTAGTGGGTTGTGGGAAAATGAAATGTGACCTCACGCAAAGGGAAGGAGATAAAGGAGGGGAGAGAGGGCAGAAAACCTGTGCCTGGGGACACTCGCTGACCTTGACACATGTTCTACTCACTTTAAGTGGCAGACGGAAAGCACTATCGGTTTCACATACTTTCCCATCAACAGAACTACCTGTCCTAACCATGGGATAGAAAAATTACAGTTCTGGCCCTGGCTGGTTCAGCCCAGCGAAGAGAGCATCAGCCTGCAGACCAAAGAGTCCCAGGGTGGATTCCCCCAGTCAAGGGCATGTGCCTTAGTTGCCGGCTCCTCCCCAGCCCAGGCCCTGGTCAAGGCTTGTGCAGGAGGCAACCAATCGATGTGTTTCTCTCTGTCTTTCCCTCTCTCCCACTCTCCCTAAAATAACCAACGAGACAAGAAAAGGAAAAGAAAAAGGTCAAGTTCTGGAGACACAGCAGGCAATGGTCAAAGCCAAGGCTGCAAGATTATCTCAGATGTGAATGAGGCAAAGAACACATAAACTGTGATTTCAAAAACAGGAATGGCTATCATAGTTCCATGTGCATGCACATGACATACAACACATGTGGCTAATTTCAAGTCACATGGTCATAAATAATTAAATGTTGAGCTTAATAACAAGCATTTTATCCACTTGTAGAGAACCTACTGTATCGTTCTAAATACTTGGGGTGATGGACAGACAACAGAGGTCCCTGCCCTCATGGAGCTTATAATCTACCACAGGGAACAGGCAAGACACAGTCAACATGTAAGTAAATTAAGAATTTAGATAATAAATGCTTTGCAAAAGCAGAGGACCCTTTGGTCCGCAGGCTGCCTCAGAAGGGCAGGCTGCTACGTGAATAAGGTGAGCAGAGCCAGCCTCCACCAGAAGGATTTGAGCAAGGTGGGAGAGTGGGTTGGGTAAAGGGATGTCTGAGGAGGAGTGTCCAAGCAGAGAGGACAAAACACAGCCCTGAGGTGGGAGGGGGCAGGGGAAGGCATCAGAGAGCAAACTGCCTCTCTTGAGTCTTGATTTCATCTTTCATCCATGCTTCATAGTACAAAATAGGGATATAGTTCATGTTTACTAAATTATTTAAATTCCAATAAATATAAGATTATCCAATACACACAAATTTAATCCAAACTACAGACTAGCGCTTTGTAAGAAAACTGTTCACAACATGTATTGGCGGAACATACATTTTCCTGAGAGGAGCTAAACATCAGATTTTCAAAAGGGCTTTTTTTTTTTTTTTTTTTTTTTTTTTTTTTTTTACTCTTTTCCCCTCTAAAAGTTACATATCACAGCTTTGTTTCCAGGAACATTTTTTTTTTTTTTTTTTTTTTTTTTTTTTTTTTTACTCTTTTCCCCTCTAAAAGTTACATATCACAGCTTTGTTTCCAGGAAAGTGGAAAAGCTGGTTCTATTATGTAAGGAGGAATCCTTCACAAAGAGTCTGCTTTGGGCCAGAGTCTGATGACAGCTGTCTTTTAAACACAGTAGGTGGCAAGCACAGGGCACGAGGAACATGTGGTCAGCAGGCAGGCAGGCCGGAGCACCCATTTCCCCCTTGCCCATCATGAGAGTGTGCAAAGCTGCCCATGGGACACTCTCTCAACAAGAAGGAGCTGCACGGAGACCTGAGACCTCAGAGGTCAATTCTAATAACATAAAGGCGGTCAAACACGAAAAACAGGCTAAGTCACGTGGGAGGAGCAAAAGGGAAAAAAGGACTCAAGAATTCAGTTACAATAAGAACTATCCTTTTCACCTCCACTGAACATTGTCACTGCAAAAGGTTTTCAAATAAATACACGCTCAGGCAAAAGAAATCAGAGTCCCATAGCTTCCAACGTCTAACTTTGTCCTTACAACTATTATACTTTCCATGTCAAGTGCACATGCAACATGAGTTACTGAATTCTCATTTTATAAAAATCGCATTTGTTTATTTAAATTTTTATGTACTCATTTTTAGAGAGAAAGAGGAGAGAGGGAGAGAGACAGTGAGAAACCAATTAGTTGTCCCACTTATTTGTGCATTCATTGGTTGATTCTTGAGTGTGCCCTGATGGGGCATCTAACCCACCACCTTGGCATATCCAGACTAAGCTCTGACCAATGGAGTATTCAGCCAGGGCAGGAATCATAGTTAAGTGAGAATACAAGATTAACAGTCTAGAAAATTGAATGTTTAGTACTATATTCCCTGCCCAACCCCCCAAACACTGCCTTTTCAATCTCTCCATTATTCCCAATTTCTCATTTATATTCAGGCCTGTTCTTTCTAATACTTTAATGCACATTATCATGTGCCTCTTTTTAAAATTCCGCTAAAAATTTCCACTTTACTCTACATTTCTATGACTTAAGAAAATAAAAAAGCTGTTAAAATTTTCAATTGTCACCATATTACATGAGAAAGCATTATAAAAGAGCTTAGGACCTAAAAAGAGAAAAACATTTTTCTTAAAAGACTTGCTTTTCATTATACTATAGCCAAATAAAGTTACACCTGATAGTAATTATCAAGGGTGATTTTGTTTAGGAATTACTTTTACAATTTTTTTTTTAAATATTCTTTTCTAATCCAGGCCAGATATTTTTATGGTTCTGTAATTTTTTTTAATATATATTTTTATTGATTTCAGAAAAGAAGGGAGAGGGAAGGAGAGACACATCAGTGATGAGGGAATCACTGATCAGCTGCCTTCTGCACACACCCCTCAAGGGGATCGGGCTGCAACCTGGACCTGTGCCCTGACCCGAATCAAATAGTGACCTCCTGGTTCACAGGTCGACGTGCAACCACTGAGCCTGGTACAGCAGCTGGGCAGTCCTGTAATCTTTTGTATTTTAGGATAAATTAAACTATTTTCCCTCTTGTACTAGCCAACTTATAAGGACCTGTTTCTAACTAATAAAAAAAATTCAAATTAAAAATAAGTAATTTGGTGGAAAAGAAAAACAATTATGTATGGTTTAGCCATACATAGTCTCAAAGAGAGAAAAAAGATTACACAAAGGAAGAAAAATGCTTGAAATTGATAACAGCAAAGCTGAGTAAAATGCTTGCCTCTGTTTGAAACTGAACAGAAACAATCAATCAATCAAACAAGCAAAAAAAAAAAACCCTTAAAAGAGCAAGTGTGCACAAAGCTCAAATGTGGACCATCTCCAATAATCAATGAGAAGTTTCTGAATCAAGGTGGTTCACACCTTTTGTCAACACCACGGCTGACAAAATGTGTCTAGATTTTAATTCACCTGAAACATTAAGTCTTGGCTTTTGAAATGTATAGTAAAACATATTTTACAATAACTATGGCGTAATGTTCACGAAACAAGGACCTCTTTTGGGTCAAGTGGGAGAGGGTAAAGGTATCCTTAGTAAGTTCTTTGACTTTTACAAAATATTCCCAATCCTATTATTACTCTACGTTAAAAGGCAGCTATTTACCCTTACATTCTGCTTCTTTATTCTCATTGCCTCATTCATTTTCTGCTAGAACAAGCCAGCGCCAAAGAAAGAATAACAGTATCAAAATCTCTTCCAGAAATACATTGCCATGCTGCAGCCAGTTCTATTGTAACCACTGCCACCGAGGCCACCCATTTTAGGCATACCTTCCCATCCCTATCCCAGTCTTGGGCAGGGAAAGAAAGATTACACAAGCAGAAAGAGAAAAAAAAAAATGCTCGAAATTTATATTACTGAGGAAATGAATTGACTAAGCTGATAACAGCAAAGCTGAGTCAAAGGCTTGTCTCTGTGTGAAACTGAACAGAAACAAACAAACAAACAAACAAAGCTCAAACAAGGATCACCTCAGATAAACAATGAGTGGTTTTTTAATCAAGATGGTTTCCATTAGGAAAAGCACCCAGTGATCTTTTTTCCCTCCTGAAGGCCAAGCGCGCTCGCTATAGGCACTAATGCTACACGCACACTGCCTGCAGAGGAAGAGACCTCCCTCCACATCAGGCCGCCCACGGGATTGGGTTTCAGCTGCAGGCACAGTGTTCCTGGAGAGGAAACCAGGAGGTAGACACCGGGTTATGGAAACAATGGTTTCTTCTCCCCCGAGTTCTGTGGTCATTTTATTACTCTCTACATTTTTTCCACACAAGTCACATTAATGTTAAATATACATACGTTAGACTTACCCTCTACTTTCTTAAGATGATTTAGCTATCGAATGCCAATTATAAGAATAAGGAAGTAAAAAGTATTTGATTCAATAACAACTACAAAAGTAGTTCTTAAAAGCACTCACTAAACAGGTTCTCAGATACCATCTCCCTGTTTTATAACTAAACCCTCCACCCCACAAACACAAATGTCTAGCCGTACAGTGACTGACCACGCTTTTACGCACCGTATATAAATTCAGGTAAAGCTGCAGAAACGACTTCTGCCCAGGGCATTTCAATTCAACCCAAATGTAAAACTTTCTTAAAAAAAAAAAAAAAAAAAAAAGTCATTTAAAAATCACTCACGAATACTGACCTTGCTGCTCAGTTTCTGCTTCAGTTTTCGAGGAACCTGGTGCAACCGGAAGGGGTCGAGGTGGCCGGGGCTTCGGGGTGGGAGGTGAGATTTTTTTCCTCCCAATATATTCTACATAAGTTCCTGGGAAGTCCCCTCTCTCCCCCGTGGTTTCATTGTAGCCATTTAACCAACCAATTTCTTCAGGCCTGGCTTCCTGTCCATCGCTAAATCCAAGAGCGACTAAGGACCCTTTATTCACAGTCAATATGTCATCCAAGTGCAAGTCAATATCTTCTTCTCGTTCCTTTTTGTAATCGTAGAGTGCTCTGTACTGGTACCCCTCAGCACTCATGTTTGCAAATCCGTGACCATGCAACAGACGAGTCTGGTGACGCCGAAGTGTAATTTTATGTTTCTGTGGAACGTGAACTCAGGGAGCGTGTTAAGTTCCCGGGGATGTGTCCGGCGGAGGACAAAGGACAACCCTCCAAAGGCTTAAGAGGAGAGGCGATTGTCCATCTGTCCTCCATCAACGGTGTGACTGAAGACAGGCTCCACTTCCTCTGCAGGCCACAGTCCTCCCACTGGCTTCCTTTTCAGCAACTTGTCAACACTTGGATCGCGGGCCGACTCTCACGGCGAGGCCCGATCCTTTCTGACACTCTTGTCACACTGTCCATCTGTCGTCTGATTTCACTGTTGCGCTCCACACGCAAGCTTCACCTAGCAAGAGAAAAACAAGACTTAAGAATGAACATCGCACTTGGCCATCTGTGTGAATTTGAGTGTCTACTTCCATTCAACAAGTACTTAATCAATTTGGCAGATGGACTCGGGCAGCGTCCCATTGCTGGACATGATATCCACAACAGAGATTAGAGAGACACTCCCTGCCTTCTAAGAGCACCAGGCAGGGCTGGAAGGGGTGTTGGCTTGTGGCAATGTCTCAGAGATAAGACTGGTACACAAGGAACTGGTACACAATAACATTAGGTAAATGCCAAAAAGACAGCGGCGACTAAACACTACAGAGTTCAAATGAGGGAGAGATAACATCTAACTGTAGGCATCAGAAGGCGGAATGAAACGTGTGGCACGGCCTAAGGTACAAATGTGACTAAGCAAGTATCATATTCTGTTAAGAGCCAGAACAGGGAGCATCGCTGACTTTTGAGAAAGCAGGCTCCAGTCTGGTAGCATTGAGGATAACAAGGAGAATTTAAGGAGTTAAGGAACTGAAGAGGAAGTAGAGACAATTCCTGCAAATTATTCTATGAAGAGAGCTTAGTGGAGGGAGAAATAGGAAATGAAAGTTGTTTTTATTATTTTTCCTTTTTCTTTTTAACATAATGGAGGCAGAGAAATTGAGAGCCAAAGATTCTCTAAGTTAGTTAGCATGTACACTTAGCACTCTAATCACTTCTCATTCTTATCTTTATTATAAAGTCAAAGCAACCTAAAGGTTTCTGTTAAGCTGGCTGAACAATAAAGCAATAAAAACAATAGCCACACAATTTCTGCGTTCTACTTCAAAGAGAGCTTGTGCAAATTTTACAGCGTGGAACACTTTAGAAGTTTAATATTATAGGCACTCTTCACTGTAAGCAACTTAAGAAGACAAATCTGATTGCTGAGTAATTGTTATGTTGGCATTCAGAAGTGTAAAGTATTCAACTTTACATGGCTAGAGCCTCTTAGCTGTAATATAATAACACTCTTAGGAGAGTTACATATTAAAAGAAGCAAAAGCAAACACTGGAAATCTTTGTGTAGCAAGAATATGAATTTTGGTTAGTATTATTCTACTTTGTATTTCAGTTGTCATAGAGAAAAAAAAAAAAAAAATGAAAGCAACCAGCAGAGAGGATGAAAAAATAAACTATGTTTGAAGACAGCCTCTCCTTTTGCTAGATCCAGAATCAAATTAAATACTCACTGCATAAATTCACACAAAAATGTAGAACTAGCAAATCTCATTTTTAGTACTAATACACTCTGTACAAATAAGACACGGAACTCTAAGGAACATGAAAAAATGTACATGTCCCTCAATGCCTGGAAACCAGGCAATATGCCTAAGAATAATGTAATCCCCCAAATCTGCCTTGCGATTTTTGTTAGCTTTTCCAGGCAATGTATGTCTTTTTTTTTGGGGGGGGGGTGGTAAAGGGGGGAATTCCTCCACCAGTAGGCTGGTAGATTTTTCCTTCAGCCGCTGCTTATGGCTTCCTCTATTTGAACAACTCCGTGGGCCAGTTTGGTGAGATTTTTAACAGAATGTGGAGCATAGACCTCAGCAACCACCAGGCCCCTGCTCACCGCATACGAATGTAGCTATCTATGCAAGCGCCTCGCCGGGCACACTGTAGTCAGAAAGGCTCCATGTCTACTCCAGGTATTGCAAACCTGAAGAACTTACTGGCTTGACTGATGCCAGACTCTAGAGTAGCAATCTCTGCCATGTGTGCCAGAAACCTGTGTTTCTATTAATTCCTAGCCTCTCACCATTTGAAAAAAAAAAAAACAAAAAAAAAAAAGCTTACTGGCTGTGTAAGATAAATCTTCGTTTGAGAAAAAATAACCCCAGATCTTCTATGACTCTGGGATTGAAAGTACACACCATTGTATTAGAATACACCATTCCTATCTTTTGGGACCAGGAAGATTCATCAGAACAATTCGAGATCAGCCATGACTCGGTGCCAATTAAGTGGCTGGGGTGCAATGTTGTTAAGAGAAGAGGGAGACCTGACTAGTCATTTGGGTGACGCCTGGCACGTGTCTAGTGGGAGGTACACAGCATCCTTGGCTCAGAAGATGCAAGCTATTTTCCCTCCGTGGCTTAATCCATTAGAAGTTATTAATGAAACAACCTTGGCCATTATTCAGGTGTGCAGTAGCCAGGCCCATTTTAATGACTGTCACTGTCGCTGTGGTCAGCATGGTCATCACCCAACACTTCCTGGAAACGACTGTGTGTTCTAACCAGTTCAACCGTCTTCCTCCTCCTCCTCCTCCTCACCTAACGCTTACGGGAGCTGTTCAGTCAACACCTAATATTTGTTGGGAGTTTTTATGTGTACTGACACATTCAATACATACAATTAGCACATTCAAAGCAAGATAATCTTAAGGCAGGCACGATCAATAATTCTCACTTTACACGGGAGAAACTGAGGCGCAAAAAATTTAGTATCTTGGCCACGATAACGCCGAGCCGTTGAAAGGTGGCAGCAGGATTCAGCTTCAGGCAGTCTGCCAGAGCCACACTTTTTATACCACTAGAACCTACTGCCCAAACTCAACTTGCTTCCTTCGATGCCTGAGATATGACCGAGGCAAATTCCTGCCCACCCGCTCTGACCTCCACTTTTCACTCTGTAACAGCAGCCTTACTGAGTGCTTGTGGTTCTTTCACAAACACAGCTGCACAAAAAGAAGCCATTCCAACTCGGAGCAGTTCTGTCAAGTCCAAGACCAGGCATCTAGGGCCATGCAAATTTCCTTCCAGAGAGACTTCTCTAAAACGCACCCTTGCCAAACAAGTCCATAAATTAGTGAATAAAAGAATCCTGGACACATCACTTCTGGAAGGCTGCCCACTTCTGCTCTAGCTTCTGCCACCTGTATCCCTCTTGGCATCTATGCCCCCTTCCCCCTCAACCCCTGCCGTGGCTGTGCCAGGCTCCTCACTACACAATGTGTAAAAACTCAGCTCCTCCTTAGGGAGATGTGAAGTATGATCCACAGTCACAGGGGCCATCACATCTAGAGGACTGACAAGTTCTCGTTTCTCTCACCCTCCAGTTCTCAGCAGGAATGCAGAAGCCTGAGGCACTGGCAGTGTCTGTCCAACCTCCTGAGATCAATGGGAGCCCAAACTATTCAGATCCACAGGCTCTATGCTGCCCAGATTCACAAGATTTTGCTTCCAGTGTCTGGCTACACACACCTGTCCATGAGGTATTTCTACCCAGCACGGAGTAAAGATTTTTAAATGTGGATAATATCCACCATCCATTAAGTTAATGTTTTCAAATAACCAAGGGTGTTAGGATATCTAGTCTCCAAGTTAGTTACTATTGTTGCTGTAACATAAAGGAATCCTATGAACAAGTAACAAACTCACTCACTTATATAACATCCTATGAACAGTTTATAATTTCCTTAAAGGGAATGATTTTGCTCCATTCGTTCAACCATTTTAAAGATGACTCAAGATACTGTTAATTGAAAGTATATTTCCTCTGCTAAGATACTGAGCAATTTTCATTCTCTTCCTCAAAATGTTGTTTCTGATGCCTGACAAGCACCCATGACTTCTTTGTACAACTGCTTGAAAGGAAAATTTCAATTTAACCCTTTAACCTTCAGGCGTTTGGCAAAAAACTTTTCTTTGAAAAGTCCTGACTTTGTTGACTTACTCCCCTTTTACAAAGGACAAGGACTTAGCAGACTTGGTGAGAGATAAAGGATATTTTTTAAGTCACTTTAAATAAATCAAGACTATATCCTGATCATATTATTCTATCCTGAGATAAAATCAGCAATCTGGCTTTGGGTCTGCGATCCAGATGCAAGGGCTATGGAGGGGCTCCTGGGCCCTCCCTACATTCCATCTCTCCATCCTCTGTGCGCTCACTCTGAGTCTAGGGCAAGCTCCCCACCTAAATTCACAGTTAAAAAAAAAAAAAATCAACATTTAAAAATCTTTTCACTTTTTAAATATGTTCTGGAAATCATGAAAATCGAACTGAACAAAAGTTAAAATTTCGTAGTAAACACAATGAAGTTCAACTTAAAAGAATGTACTCAGGATAAATGTTATCTCAACTAAAACAAAATAAAAATGATGGGATCAAATTAATCTCGGAGTTGCAGTCATCAAATATCTCCATTCATTTTCAAACCAACCAGGATGGACTGCTGCCACGCTCAGGGCTGAGTTTGTACTGTGGGAAAGTGGAGTGTCTAGGGCAGGACTCTCCTGCCTGCAAGCCCTTTGGGGGGAGGGGGAGAGGAGGTTGCGCAGAACAAACCCAGGTGAAACTACAAGGGAAGACAAGGAGGCAGGATTTTCCAGAAAGCACTGCAGGAGGAGCAGAGGAGAGAGGGGGGGGGGGGGGGGGAGCGCGTGCGAGCACAGGCCCAGCTGGAGACAATTCCCAGGGTCAGAGGTCGCCACCTGGGGTCAAGGAGAAAGGATGATGCAGGCACTCACACCAAGGCTTTCTTGGGCCTGAGAGACGCCCTGTTACCCAGAAATGGGCATAGGGCTGAGCATTCTGCTTCTCTGCATCAGCACTGAAAAGAAGCCCTGGGATGAGAGGGCCTGAACTCTGGTTAAAATAC